GGACAAAACGCCGGAGGACGACAACGAGGACGCCAAGTCGACCGACAGCAGCCTTGCGGCGAGCGACGACGACGCTTGACTGACGAGACGCCATTTTGTTTGGAGCGTTGAACTGAGTAACTTCGAGTCCTGTTAGAACGACGTCAAACTCATTTTCATGGCCGTTACCGATGACGGGTGACTCGGAAAATCACCTCATCATGAATACGCAAGTCCGACCCGATAATCTGATTGTGGAGTTTTTTCTTTTCTTCTCTGAAAGCAATCCGCTTCCACAACGGCTCGGCCAAGAAAATGTCCAGTTTTCACATACAGCACATTTGACAATAAAGTTGTATCCAAAAATGCAATCATTTGGAAGCGCTCCCCTCAAACCAACACAGGTGCCTCCAGATGGTGCCAAAACTCCAATTTTTTTTTTTTTTTTTAAACTAATTGCAATTTGGAATACCGAGTCAAGTCGATCAAACGGGCTTCTATCTCTCAAATGTAGAGGCGCACCCTCTATTCTCCAATGTACAGGATGGATTTGGTGTAAACAAAAGCTTGTAGAAGCGCTTCCTTCACGTGAGGAAAAATGGCATTCCCCCCCCATTTCATAAGAAACGGGAAGCAAACAGGCCGCCAGTTTGACAAGTGCCGTGCAAAGGAGGGCACGCTACCTTCAGATGCACCGACCAAGGTGAACGCTCGGCTGGCAAAGAAAGGAAGCGCTCCGTTGTGTCATTTGTGTTTATTATTGACTAGTCGGTAACCACGGAGACGAGCTGTGCAAGAATGAGAGAGACCACGTGACCGTATTGACATGCGCGAGGGCGGGCGGGGTGCGAGGCGCCCGTCGCTCTTTTGTAATAACTTATTGAGAAAATCGTCTTTAAAAAAGTCCGGCGAGTGGTTCGTTCACATTGGCGGCGAGGTCACAGATGCGGCGGATCCGTGACGGCGGCGGCGGATGGCGCGCGAGTCCACAGACGGCCACGAGAAGAAGAAAAACGAAAAGGCAGAAAGACGGCGGCGAGGTGCGCCAAGTGGCGCCTTTAAAGTGCATCTGGGATGCGCAGCGTTTGCGTGCCGGGGGGGAGGGGTCCCACAAAGTTCTGCTGCCTTCTTTTTGTTCTCTAAGCGGCTCCGGAAGGTTCCGCCACCTTCCAAGGCTGGTGAGAGACAATAACAAGAGATCTCAATGCGTGCGGGGAGGACTTTGAGCGCGCCGCGCCGTGAATTTCAAGATCGGAAACTATTTCAATGACAAACGATGGCCAGTAGATGGCAGCCAATCGGCACTTTAGATCGAGCGGCCCCGTTTGTCAGTACGGGCGAGGGAGGAAGCTACGGTCGCCCAACATGTCGGGCCTTCTATTCTTTCTTACCAGCGGCGGGTTGGAGAGCGGCGGCGCGCGGGCGTAGTCGGGCGGGTTGGCGCGCGGGTCGTATCCCAGTCGCGCCAGCATGGGCGCCACCTCGGCCATGTGCTCCACCACGTCGTCGGGGATGTGGCCCACCCACTTGGCCAGCGCGTCCGTGTTCACCGGCTTCACCACCTGGTCCGTCGAGCGCTCCACCCTAGCGCGCCGCAAAACACAAACGCACCGGCGCTGTTTGCTTCCGTCGACATCCGCCCGCCGAGCGCAACGCCCACCCACGCATTTTTGGTTTAAACGCGTGCGAAGCGTATGAACGACACAGTGCTCGGTGGAAAGCCGATGCTTTATCGGCGAACACGCCGCACCTCAGAAACGCTTCGCTCCACCCGATCCGATCACGTTTTAATTGCCGGCGCGCCAGTGACCCTGGTTTTGTGCGCGCGGGCTTTTTGAATGAACGGCGAAAGCGCCAACGCCGTCCCTCATCGGGCGGAAGGCGGCGGAGGACTCACTTGGAGAGCGAGACGCCGCCGGCCTTGCCGATGAGCTCCTCGTGGTGCAGGACGGCCGGGTCCCAGGGGAGCTCCAGGAAGCGCAGCAGCTGGCGCATCTCGCGCTCGGGGCGCAGCACCAGGTGCTCGTAGCGCACGGGCAGGCAGCGCTCGGGGCCGGCCGCCACGCACTGGTTGAACATGGTCTCCACCGCGTTGCTCCACTTGCTCAGGCAGTCGCGCGGGTTGTTCAGGTCGAAGCCCGAGATGGTCACCTGCGGTCAGAGTGCGGTCAGAACACCCGACGCCACCGTGCCCCCGTCGGCTCAGGGGGGTTTTTGCACCGCCGCGCTTCGCTTTGCTTTCCCATCGTCCAAACAACTTTCGGCTTTCCGATAGTTGGTCCTCGGAGGCTGCGTTTGAAGGCAAAACGCTGCCTCAATTCAAAGGGGGCCCCGGACCAACCGACACCGAGGGCGCGCAACGGCAAGCGAGGCGGCGGCACTCACCTTGCGCGAGATGACGGAGTGGATGGAGGCGCGTCCGTCTCGCACCATCAACACAAACTTGCTCTTGGGGAAGATGTGAGCCAAGTACGTCAGCGACTTCAAGGCAAAAGGGTCTTTGTTGCACAGACGAGGCGCCGGCTCGCCGTGGCCCACGATCACCTGACGCAGGCACACACACACACCAGCGCAACATTCAACGTCCGGGTGCCCAAAACATTGCGCCTCCTGCTTCCCATCGGTCAGGGCGTCTGCCGGAGCCTTTCGTCCGGCCTGCTACTCGGGGAAGCCCTTCTCCGATTGGCGGACAAGTTTCCGTTCAAAATGAGCTCGCGTGGGACAACGTTTCGAAAAGCGCAGGCGGCAACATTGCCGTGACCTTTCAAATTGGCTGAAAAGCTCCCCCCGAAAGAGCCCAAAGGGAACGGCAGCAGCAGACTACGTCACGGGGATCCTTAGTCCCCCCCCACAAGTGCACTTTCCGCAAAGATGGCTGCCACTCGTGCGCTTGCTCATACGACCGAGGCGGTGCGTGCTTTGCATTCAACGACATCATTTCGACATTATGCGCTGCGCACGTGCTACAATGAATCCACAACTAATCGCTGATCAAATGAATCCACGACTATTTGGATGAATGGTTTTCGAAACTCGGACTGGGCCCCAAAGTCCGCGTTCCCCGACGGTGTCGACGGCCCCGAACGGGCTCCGTTCGGAATCAAAACTTCCGCTTGCAAACAACGCGAGCGACGTGTCGCGAGCAGCTGCCACAAGGAGGATTTACTGCTTTCCGGCACCAAAAGATGCAAGCACTTTGGCCAAAACGCCACGCGGGATCGGGGTGACCAATGAATGATTGAGCCACGGCGATGACGTCACCTCGAGGAGGAAGGCGCGCACGGCCGAGTCGAGGACCTGGTCGGTGACGCCGGCCTCGTCCAGGCGTATGCGCTCCTTGACGGATCGGCTCCAGGAGGCACGCATGGTGAGCAGTCGGGGGATGACGCGGGTCTCCTCCCCGCAGCGGACGGCCTTGTGCGCGTCCAACATGACCCGCATCAGGGTGGTGCCGCTGCGGGGGAAGCCGCCGATGAAGATGAGGGGCGTGTCCTCGGGAAGACGCTCGGCCAGCGAGGCGTTGGGATTGGCCGAACTCCGGCGGAGCTCGGCCCAGCGGGAGCGCTGGCTCCCGGGGGGGCAGTCCAGCCCGCTCAGGCCCAGGTAGAGCAGGGAGGCGGAGCAAAGGAGCACGCAGCCCAGCAGGACGTTGGAGCGGCTCACTCGCATCGTTGCCCGAGCCGGGAGTCGCCGCGTTCCGCTGGAAGGTTCCGGGCCTGCCGGCGCGGTGCGCTCAGGGGAGGGCGGGGGCGCTTCCTGCCGGGCCCGCGGGCCAGCTCGCGTCCATCGCGTCCACCTGAAACAACAAAACGGGCCCTTTGCGTCACGCCGGCACCGGTGCGGAACCTGGAGCCTCCCGCGGGGAACGGAAGCGGATCGGAGTTCGCCACGCCCTCGCCGCTTCTAATTGCGCGTCACTGGTGGTTTGGTCGAGCCGGCGGATCACGTTCCATCGACCTGGCATAACCGCAAACTTCCTCATTCGCACGTCGCCGCTGAGTGGGGACGGATCTGCTTCCGCTTTTTTCAAATGACTACAACGCTGCACTTGTGTGCTCGCTGGATCGGAAGCTGCAACGACGCGAGCACTTGTTAACCGGTGCTGAGCAAAGAAGGGTCCGACAGAGCATCTCGTGTGCTCAATCAGAGAGCGCGAGTCGCTCTGACGGCACTCCCAACAGGTGCCCGTATGTGGGCTGACGAGTTTCACGACCACGTTTGCCGGTTCCGAGCCTCCGTCGACTGCGGTTCGCTTTCGGAGCGGAGAGGGCCAACGTGCTCATTAAGACTCAGCAGCTCCTCAAGCAATACGCCACCCTCGGTGTCACGTGTCGGTTCTTCTGACATCCACGCGCAATGTTGTTGTTTCTTGTGCGACCGAAGTGACGCCACTCGCCGGAACTATTCAACAGTTGCAAGTGAGCTCGGGGACACGCAAAACAACTGACGCGGCCATCGGACAGAACGCGGGATGATGATGATGATGATGATGACGCGGTTCTGCTCAAATACGAGAGAACGTCTGTTCCGTGACGCGACGTTGAACAGCTTGACGAGCAGCGCCATCAACAGGTCAATTTGCTCCAAGCTGCCCGCGCGCAAGAGTCCGCCCAGGCCTGGCGGCGGCCGGCGGCGGCGGCGGCGACACATCTGGCCGGGCACCCTCACCGACCTCCTCGAGGTGACGCGAGCCCGGCCCGACCCGAAAACCCGACGAACCAAGCCGAATGAAAAGAGCCGAGGCAGACGCGAGCTAGCTAGCCGCCCGGGGCCGCTCCGAGGCGTCGTGAGCTCCGCGGAAGGACGCGTTCGGATGGGCTCGACTCACCCGAGCCTCCCGCCGACCGAGCACAAGCGTCGCGAAGCTCTCAGCTTTGGCGCTGCGGCGGAAATGCCTTCGCCATCGAGTCAGTCACGAAGAAGTGGCGACAAATTCAAGTTTCCAGTCGCAGCCGACGATGCTGGGGACCGCTCGCGAGTCTCTAGTGCGCACTAGCGAGGCGACAATTCACTAGAAGGGGTGGGGGGTGAACTGCAGGGAAAAAAAAAAACAAGCGCCCCCCCTCCGCCCCACTTCTGAAAGCTCGGCGCTGATTGGGCGAGCGCATATTTGGAGCCTCCACATTGGTGGAGCTTTTCAATTGCAATTCCGCCGTAGTCGAACTCTTTCCCCCTCCACTTCCGCACTCGAGCCTAAAAAGATTTCAGCTCGTATTGTTTACGTCCTCCTCTTCGCTTACAGCTCACCGGGGACGTTTCCTGAGAGCAAAGCTAACCTCAAGCTATTCACTTGACACTTCATTGTGAAAATACTATACCCTTTTTTTAGCAACGTGACGACATGTCCAACGTGGCTAACGTAAAAAAAAAAAAGAGCAACGTCGCTTCAATCATTCCAACGTGTGTGGACATTTCCACTTCCTTCGGAAAAATGACCGTAAAATCCCCAATAAGTGGGCATTCGGAGAGTTGGCCGCAACCGTTTTGATGATTTCATGCCAGCTTTGAACGTGATTTGTGGACTCACATATGCTCACTTGGCGTCCGCATGAGTCAGACTCAATAATGCACGTCAATAAATAATAAATGATTGATTTGTGCAGCGGCTGGCCAAACAGTCACACGGGAAGTGATGTAACTGATGGGGAGTATCAATCCCCCCCCCCCCCTGATTTGCCACATCAGATGGCCTGCTGTTGTCAAAGCAAACATTTGTACTGAAACGCACTGCAAACTTGGCGACGCGTCCTGTGCTGTCTTTCGTTTCCAGCCAACAGCTACTAACGACCTCATTTGCAAGAGTGAAAGCCACCCGTTTGTCCAGGAACTTCCGGCCCTGCTTGTTGGAACTCAGCCTCGAAGTCTCACTCTTCATTCTTTCTACCAAATGGGGTGGAAATTCCTTTTATTGCATCCACTTCTTCAAGAATTAAAAGGAAAAAAAGAAGAAAATATTGACATTGATCAAATAATCATACGCTGCAGCTGTTTTCTATCCAAGAAGAGCAAGAGAAAGAAAACGTCTCTTCCGGATGCCTTGTGAATCAAGTCCAACCTTGAGCTCGGTGTCAAAGTCTGATTTGTGAGCAGATCACAATTAGAATCTTGGCGTCAATAACCTTTCGCCCGTCCAGGCACGAATGACAAAATCCATACCAGTGTTTGGGAGGAAGATTCATCGTTGCCGGGGAGAGAAGCATTCCAAGAGCCGTCCACGCTAGTGACCACTGTCCTCGAAAGGGTTAAGATTGTCCTCCAATGACGAATTGCAACACCTTTGGGATTTTGAAGATGTGGGGAGATCTGCTGAGATTCTCGCGAGATCCAGTGAAATCCAATCTGCCACTTTGACGGTGTCTCGGTGTTGCCGTGTGAAAACAGGAAAGGTTTATGCGAGACAGACAGCGGGCGCAAACTTGTTTGAAGCTCATCTGATGCGTGGTGTTCTTGGGAGTGAATTGGCAAACGTTTGGGAACAAAGGCATGTCTTGCTGGGAGTGGAGCAAGTCGGGATCGGGCATCTTCACAAGACGCGCATTTCAACGGGTGTTTTAAAACATTTCTAATACCTCGCCTGGGCTCAGTATCAAATTTAAATAGGATCGTTGGAGATAGGCACTCAGAAATGAACCACAAGAGACAATTCTGTTGCTAACAAATGGCACTTTTATTAGACCAACAAGAAATGTCACAAAGCAAGCAGCAAGCGATATATTGAGCTCTTTAAGAATGAATCAACTCTTACCGTGCGCCAACAGGATGGAGAGCCAACACCCTTGGTAGAGCGAGCTTCAATGTCAGCTGGGCGTCCGTACGCAACCCGCAGCAGACTCTAGCAAGGGGACGGCAAAGCCTCCTCTTATCCTTCTCTGAGCGTGTGCGAAAGAAGGGGCGAGTGGCCAACTCAGCCCTTCTGGCGCCACACTTGCTTCGTTATCAACTGGCGTTTCACAAACTATTACGCTGAACAACTCTTTCTCACGCAATTCTGTTATGTTGTCATGAGGCCGGTCCTGGGAAACAGGAGCCATCTGGCCCCACCTATGAGAAATGAAGTCCGATGGCTCCTGAGAAACGGGAACTCGTTGAAAACAACACGTTATACAACATCTGCCTCGGCGCGTCATCAAATCAACATGTTATAAAACGGAGTATTTTGTAGGGAAAACATCACATTAAAATCTTATGATATCAACGGGCCGCCGCATGATGCAAAACTGGGTGCGCGCGCCCAGGGACTTTGCGGCAAGAAAACAGTGGCAAAAATTCAAGTCGTGATCATGCTGGATGCTTAATTTCCCCACACAAGTTGAAGAAAGACGACGTTTGCATTCATGAAATGAAGGAAAATTTGGACAACAAGAAAATTTAAAAATAGGCCCTCTGGCAAGGGTGCTTTTACTGATGCGACCGACCCCGAGGCGGCATGAAAAAAATGCAGATTAAAAAAAACAACAACAACAAAATTCAAGTGTCTTTCGTGTCATCGATGACATTCTAGGACCGCAAGTGGCCGCAAGACGAAATGCGCTGCATTCAAAGAGCATCGAGAAAACTAAACGTCCTTTTGCGGATGCCGGATAAAGACGTTTGTGCTGGGATACGATCCGAATCCCGGGCCGCCTCGCGCCGTCCCTTGGCGACGACGCGCAAGGGTTGAGCGAGCGCATCCGAGCGCCGCCGCCGGCTCGACAAGTGCTCCCACCCAGTTGACGCGGCGGCGCTCAGGCCGCCCCCCCATCGCCGCTCGTCGCCTCTTCCTGCTCCGGATCCCCGGGAAGAACCTCTGAGATGGTCAGAATGAGCTCCTCGATCTGCTCCTCGGACAGACGCTCCTCGCTCTCCTCCACCATCTGCGGTGCAAACATGCGCGCACACTGTCCACCTTGGGGACCTTCATGTCATTTCCGACTGACTATTCGGGCCGCCGAGATGGGTCGCCTAGCCGCCACGACGTCAGCGATCCGAGTCGACAAGCCGCGGCATTGATTTGCGGCTTTTTTTTTCTTCCCGAAAGCGCCTCGTCTCCCGCCGGGTGCAAGACTCGTCTGTGACGAAGCGGCGGGGGAAGAGTCGCTGTAGCGTCACGGCTAACCCGCCCGTCCGTGTTTGCGACAACGTCCCAAAGTTCACCCCCCGAAAGACTTTGCGCGAGATGCGAGCTCGTCTTTGATGGCAGCACGGGGCCAGGAAGCGACCGCATC